ATGTGTTTGATCCTATCGATGTTGTTTAACGAATATGATGTATGATGTGTTCCAAATAAAATTTTAGTCACAACATTCAAAGTGACAGACAAATCGGACATAAGTACGCAAAAACTAGAAAATTTCTGATTCAGAAATGAAAATTTATTCTATTCTTTTCATGTTCAACAATAACATGACACGCAATCAAGTCGAACACCGTCCATTTTGAAGGAAATCACTAGATTCCACTAGTTTGTAATCATCGTAATGATTTTACAAAAAAAAACGACTTGAATCAAAACACTTTCGGCCAACTCATGTCTTACCCTTCGTTATCACTCAGAACTTTGAAGCTGTTTATGTGATTGTTGTTCACGCTCCCTCCTCGTCTCCTATTTGCGTACTTCATCTTGCTGAAACGACACTAAGAGTTGATTGCACAACTCTAACAACGCTTCTAGACGTATCCCGAGTGGCTGAACGGTTCCATGTATACACTTACCTCACAGTGTATTAATCCACTACATTTGATTGCCTATCCGTGCTCTCTGCTTAGATGATACTCAAATGAATCGCTCAAAACCTATTAGCCTCTATTTTCTGCGAGATCCGGACCAACTGCCAATGAGCACTCTTACACTCAGGCAAACAAAATTAGAATAATGCATCAAAATGTTGATAATAGCACTCAGCACTAAAATGCTATGTATATGATCCATCAGTTATTATATTGGTTTAAATCGGACTTTGAGTATCGACCATGCGTTTGCTGGTGAGATTGCAATGCGTACGGTTATCGAAGGTTTTCAGTTCGTCTCCATACGATAATTTTAGAAAGAATCATTGCATTGTTCTTTCATATAATATGCGTACTCACCAACAATAATAATCTACAGAAAATTTCACTAACAGGACATAACACCTATGAATATATGATATAAATAAAGGACGAACAATAACAACAACAAACGAGCAAAGAATGAGCAGTTATAGTCAGCAGTATTAGCACAAAATATATAAACATATGCGATAAAATAGCATCTTTTTCATGTTTAACACAACAGGATTACATTCAGAGCGCATGGCAACTTAACAAGAACAATGCAAACGCAACAAATGTCGTGTGAATTTGAAAAAAAAAAACGAGGAACTTGCGTCGTGAAAAAAAACTGCATGATTTTTGAAAATTTCGACCATCCCAAAGAAATGAACGAACAAAGTTCTTAACATAGCAATAGGAATGAACAATAAAAAGGGAAAATATGCAACAACAGTCTCTCGACAGTTCAACAGATTAACAGTTTATCACTGTATTCAATCAGTTAGTGTTCCAGTTCAACTTTCCACTTGCGATTTTTCTCTTCTTCTCTCTTCAGTCATTTTTTCTGGTCACGATGATGAATCCGTCACTTCCAATCAAACAACAAGTCAATAAACAACTTTCATTCTGTCAATCAAGGAGAAATTTTTTCGCTTTGTCTGACCATTTTCAAAGAACGAAAATTTCCTGATCGTAACGTCGATTTCCACATCATTTAGAGGACTCTCAGAAAATCCCCTTATACACAGAAACTCCAGCTTGAATAATCTGTACTAGCACAGTGGAAAAAATGGGTCATCAGAACCCTTTGCGTGGAAAAACATGTAACAAAAATTAACAAAGTAACAATTACAACAAAAGTAACAATCGTAATACCAATACTGATCATTCTTTTTACAACTGTAATCACAGTCACATTATTATCATCATTATGATTGTCATAATCGAAGACGATTATAAATGAACACTGTCTTTTCTGCAAAGGCACCATACGCTTAAGTTCGAACAACGGCAAAAATACGCGTAAAACATCCAACTTATAAAATCTATGCATAAAATAACAACGCCATTTCACATCATAATTTATAGTATGTATATCATATCAGCCTTATAAAGCCAAGCACGTTTCCAGAAGCAAGTGAGCACCATATTTTACATTAAAAAACGCGCTCATATACCGTAATGTAAGTTCAGAAACTGGACGAGAGGAGATGCTGTGAGGACTCTTTCGATCAGCTGTTTCCGTTTCAGTCCTGGAAATAGAAAACCCTCTTCTATCTCTCTCCCTCCCTCCCCCCCCCCCCCCCCCCCCCGAGTATCCGTTAACCATGTCACCATTCCCCTATACAGCTCTCCTCTACTGTTCTTAACAGTCTTGACATCCAGGAAGATTGTTGATCTTTTTAAACACTTGCATATAAACACACAAAAAGAAATAGACAAAAATGCAAATGAACATATACATCACCCTTTTCACACTTAACCGGTATTTCTTAGTTCGTAACAACTGGAGGGCTTCCACATTACTCGTTTATCTTCATGTTTTAAGGAAAACTGTGAATGATTTCACAATACATCAACCATAAATTATTTAAGCGTAAGAGCAAAATAGAAGCGGACTGATAAAAACAATACGAAGGAATGAAATTATGAAACGAATCAACTATAAAATTACAACAATGAAAGTAACAATGTTTCTGAATGGACCATACAACGATAATAGTAATCAACTGCAAGGATATTGTCCAACCACTACCGCATAATGCCTTGTAATCTCACGACCATTACGAATATTACCGACTTTTGTGGCCATCCTTCACCGCCTTTATTCTATCATTTATGCAGGAAATAAATAACCACTTCATATGTACCCATTGTTATCGCCGTATTCGGTACTGTTCGTAACAACTGAAATTTACATTTTTTAGTCACACTTTATCAAAACAACGAAAACTGCGAATTATTTTGAAGTAAAACATGAATAATGAAACGAGTAAGGTGAAAGTGAATGTAAGTAACATCCATCACACGTACCTGAACAGATAAACCACGATAGAGTGCACGAAAACCCTCGTAGCGATAGATCGAGAATAGCGTTGAGAAGAAACCCGTTGCTTTAGTGTGCTCTTCACGGAGTCGTGTCCTTACTACTTCTGCAAATTACATATGCGAACACTAATGAACATTTAATCATTGCAAAATGCACATGAGAATTACAATCAAAAGAACGACTAACGTTTTCGACCTAACAAAATATTCCACCCGTACAAGAATACGACACCAATACTACCAGTAAAACAGCGAAAGGAAAAGTTATGAAATAGCAAAACCAATTTTCAAAATGAAATGCTAGACGACAATACCGTGTGGATATGCTGCCACACAGGCAAAGAATTTCGCTGTTCCTCCGGCTAACATGAAATGCAAGAAATCAATTGTATTTCGTTTATCCTCATCGTATTCCGATTCAGCGGCATTCCGGGCGGCTGCTTTCACCAAATGACTCCTGACATGTTCATAGAGCACGAATTGAATCATTGTCTCCGAAATACCCATATATGATGCGGTTACTCCCTGGAATCACTCAAACGATAACTCCAAGAAACAGTTGGGATGGCGTGATTTTTTTCAATCCTAATTGCAATTATTTTCACTTGAGTTTCTTAATGATACATATATAAGTTGTTTGGCACAATGGGTTTCTCACTCGTTGTGTCAAACAACTTATAAGTTCCAAGAAATCACCAAAGTGAAGTAATATCATGACTTACTCGATAGAATCCTTTGAGACCCTCGTTTCGGTAAACTTTCTTGATGCATTGAGTTATCGATGAACGTCCTCTATTCAACTGCAATCTGGTTTTCACCAACCAAATAGGATTCACAACTGTCGCAGCCACGAAACCTATATACCACAAAGCTTTAGAATTCCAACTGTTAAATATTTTTTCTCGAACAAAAAAGTCGAAATTAGTCGTGTCGTCAATTTATTAACTTCAAAACTTCGTGTTCACATTCCTTGATGTGTCCTGCAATTGGATAACAATAACCGAAAAATTCTCTCAAACAACAACTAACCTGCGCAACCAGCAGATAGCATATGTACAATGGCACTATTCGGCACAAACGCATCAACATCATTGAAAATGCGCTTACATGATGAATACGTATAGAAATAGACCGCTCTGAAAAACAAACTTCAGTTATTCACAGTTTGAGCATTCAAAGAATGCAAAAACTGCAAGAAATACTGCAAAAACCTAACAATGAAAGTCAAAAACCACTTCAAATGAAGAAAAAACCATAAAAACTCACTTCGATGGAGCTACGCCAACTAGATTCGGGCCTAAACCTTTGTAGAGTGCGCCCACTCCTTCGTTGGTAATTATCTGACTGAAATGCGATGGAACGAGAAAGTTCTTGACATATATAAAAAAGGATTTTAAAAGTTTTCAATAAACGCTCCTTTGGACTGATTGGTTTAAGTTTTACAATATATCATCTCGCACCGCTCACCTCTATTATCATTAACAGCTAGCCTATTTGTCTTCCCATTACCTCTACTCAAACATCAAAGCCCAGAGTTATTCAATCCGACGTCAGGTCAATATGTCTAAAATTATTCCACCACATCATCATTAAATCATTAACGTGATCTGCACTTCTCCACCTACATATACCTCTTACCTACGAGACCAACTGATGGGCGGGCTTTCTCTTGCACATTTCATATCCTTTTACGATAATGAATGACTTCGATATCGAAACACGAAATCGATATCGAAGTCATTCATTTAAGTCATTCGATATCGAAATTACGATGACGAACAATATTTCAAAGTATTCCATCAGTAAAATTCTTCACGAAAAATTCCAAATAACTAATTTATGGAGACAAAAATATACCGCACATGCTTTACGTGGACACCTTAACTGAGTGTAAAGAATGTAAAATGCTAAATGGTACTGCAGTATGTTGCAGAATGGTAGTGAATTTAACAAAACAAGAGGAAATTTGCACATATACATTTCAGAGTGTGTATCAGCCGTTGTCCTAATCGTGGCCTATCATTTCCTGAATTTATCAAATAATGCTTTCACGAACATTTTTATTGGCTAATACTAAGGATAAACCCAGTGTCACCTATAAAATCAGCGACGTTTTCTATACTTTTTTCATCACGAAAACTAAAGTTGCTTATGGAAGATTATATAATGGAAAGCATCCTCACGGCGTATCGGACTGGTATTGCTTTGACAACGATGTAAGCTCAACACGGACAAAATTACCTACTGAAAGAGCTTGAAAACATTCTTTCGTCGCCAGAAATCAACAGCGGAATCACCATTTCCTACATGTAGTTTCAATTGCTGTTGTTGGATGATTGAAAATTGCGGCGTTGGCCACATAAGACCTGGTCGCACTTTCGCAGATGGATGTTGTAACACTGAAACAGTTAGGCCATAACTCAAAAAAAAATCGACATCGTTCATCGCGATAGGAATACAGGTCTTAGACAAGACAAGGGAAAATCCCTGGAATACGCTTTTCTGCACTAATCAACAGGCAGGACTTTCGCATATACACTAGACTTACTAGACATTTACGCACGCCTTTCGTGAAGACGTAAAATGGGCGTAAAAAGATAACTCAAAATGTTGTTAACACATCATTCAAGTTGAGATGCACACAATCTCCCGCATATATCAGTACTGCTGAATGAGACAAGTAACTATACCCGGGAAAGTAAACTCATAAGAATACTTCGAAAAGGAGATTACATTAACAAAGGTAAAACCATGCCTGAAATTTCACTTCGAAAGGCATGATGAATCAATACATACAGTCATTATAAACACTGATTCCTTTAACTTACACGGTGGTGCGTAACGTTTAAAATAATGATTCGTGATATGCCGTGTGCTGTTCGAATGACCACTTCCACCGGATCCGTCGTTCGGTGAAGGTCCACCGTTAGAAGTTGACGGTCCACCGATCGTGCTCGCATAGTGAGAACTTTGGAGACGAGTCTTCACAACCTTGAATAAGGATTTGCTTGCTTCACAAATAGCTTGCTCCACTCAAGTTTTTCTAAACATCCGACAAAACTAAGCCAAAAGATATCATTATAAAATCATGTTTACACGACAACTGAACCGTGAATGTACTGACTCTGCTACCGCAGATGTTTTTGGCTTGTCAAACAGTATAATGTATAGGATCGTTTCCATTTTTGCACTTATACTTAACTTGTTACAAATTTTGTTGTTGTACAATAAATTTCACTACTATTTCATCAATATACTAATCCAGTTATTACTTCGAACGGACACGTAATTGCCGTCCCAGCCGTTCCACCAAGAGCGCCACCAATGAAATGTATGAAGGCTTCGCGGTCCATTCACCTGCAATAAATAAGCCATCATTCTCGAGAATAAAAACCATTATAAACTCGCACAAGTTACGAATAACACTTCACGATGAAACGGACCCACTCATAGTGGTTTACATGAATGCGCGTTAGCTCGCATATTAAGCTTATTTAAAGAAAATAGCTCTCAATTAAAAATAAATCATAAGACGTCGATTGATAACAAAACTGATCGACTGAACGAGAACGTAGTGAAACTAAACATCAAGATCGAACTGCAACTGACATAGCATGTGAATTGCAGAAGGGATCAAAAATGAAGCCAATGTGCAGGCTATATTTCAAGAGTGCTCAATAAATATTTATAAGAAAAAAGTTTTCCTACAAAAATGAATACTTTTACCTTCGATTCATTGCAACGCTAAACTTTGATTTACGTCATTATTTTCTGGTTTCTAAGATTGCATCTTAAATATTTTTCATAATAATCATCTTTTTTATCCGCTAATCACCAAATGAATTTCTGCAAATGGAGAACAAATTGATCTGAATCTATTATGCAACACTTCATAGCTAAAAACAACAAAATCTTTCACATCAGTATTGCCAGCAAACAAAAAAAAAACCTCGCACTGTACCATTGTAAAAAAGAACCTTTCTGGCGATGAATAAATCAACGCTTGAAAAAAATACACCTGATTTTTCAACTAATCTTACAATTTCTATCTCATTCGAACATTGAGTCTTATAAAAAAGACCGAAAGCGTTCTTTACAAGGTAATTTTAAATAAAACTGAGAGACTGACTGAATGTACTGGATATACGGGTATACCTCGGACTACGTCGCTTCGAGTTAAGTCGTTCTCGATTGTACACCGTTTTCTACTGTACTACATTTTTTTCTGTAATATATCTAAAACAATAAACCTATTTGTTCGTAAGCTTTAAATAGATTCTTATTAACCATATATCATTAAAAACGCATTTATAAATATAAAACAGAATCGGGAATAGTTGTTCATGGCTTAGCCTAGTGACAAGTAAATTCGAATTAATTCGCCTCTACTTGGACCGACGTAAGATGACGTATAACTGAATTACTGATAACACAAACGTCCGTTCAAATCAGATATATCATGCAAACACCAACCAGCACTGAGGCCAACAATTAATACAGCTTCAAAATACAACTCATAAACAATGGTAGCACACTGAAGACATCAAATACTGTCGTAACTTTTCCCTAAAGCAGATTTCTAACAGCAAGACCATCGACCATCGAGTGAACAACCATTATTTGCAGCAGAATTTATTATTACTATATGGATCGTTGTTATTATTAGTTACGCACCATACATTGAAACTAGCACACAACTTTAAACATCATAATATTACGAACCATCTACCACATAGATAGATATAAGTGCAAACAAATATGCTATTTTAAACATTCACTTCGCATAGAACACTAATCGTATCGATTCGACTCGCGTTCTGCTGCTGTGTGATATTGCGATACAACTGTACTTCACGAAAGTCCTCATCGCTATCAAAAACAACAGATCAATCGATTTGCTATGTCTGCCAACCGATCAATGAATGACCACAGATAAACTGTTCTCACTTCGTCGTAACTACTCTCTCTGAACCATCATCCCACTGATGTTTATTCGAATACTATTAAATTAATTTATGCATCATTTTTTCTTCAAACATTATTAATTTCTAACAAAATAAAATATTTCTAAGACGCCAAATCTTGCATTAATTCACTGAAAAATTCACTGAAGAATTAGTGCGAGTTGAAAATCGATTTCATGGATCCAATTCGGATTTGAAGAAACAAACTGAAACCGATCTTAAACTCGCTGGATTTGATGAGATGATCAGAGCGGCAACGTCCACTTACGATCGAAGTATTAACATTACACTGAATAGTCCGAAGCTGATACTATATGTGAGCATAATAGCCAACAACAGAACAAAATAGCGAAATATGTGCAAATATCACGATAGAGAGGACGAGAGCGCATTCGTAAAGTCGCCTTATTTGCACTCTACAGCAAGGACGTAATCAATCCAATAGAAAGATTCAATCGCTCAAGTAATTCAACAAGATATTATTGTTGCATTTGTGGCCTATCGATTTACTTGTGCGATTAAATCTGAGTTTCAAAGAATCGCAATTTTCCCATCATATTTTAAGAATATGAAATATGAATTTTTCAATGCCGAAACTAAACTAACCTTAAGGTTAACACATAATGACGAATTCATTTGTTCAGTTTGTTTGTTCAATTGGTATCAAAGAAAATAAAATGGCTCATACTTTACTTTCACCATTTATCATTAAGACTTTTTATCATCTGATTCGAAAAAACACTGGAACATGTGTGGATCAAAGGATCAAGAATCAGCAGTTGCAATCGTCAACAACAACAACAAGAACGTCTCCTATGGCCATTCATCATGCACTCAACGTATGTCAAACAAACAGGTTGCTCCTTTGGTACCAACTGAACAAAACTATTGACAACAAAGCACGTAGCCTGTGACAAAAAAGCAATATTAATGAGCCANATCTACCTTTTTATGCGACATAAAACTAACGAACAGTGATCATAAAATACATCATGATCACCGACCTGAAAACATCCGAAACATTTGCTTTTCTGCGTCAATAACCTTACTGTTAGAAAACTGATAAGATCAGATGACTTTTGTGTTCAAAACAGTGCAAAGTGATAAATCGCTGATAAATTTTACCCGTTTGTTTTTTTTTCATTAGATTATGAAATCGATAAATTTATCAATTTCATAATCTAATGACTCAAAAACCATTCTTGCATGCGTCCATTGTTCTAATCTCGAACTCAAACAAGCATTCAAAAGTACAAATTCGCCTATCGCCAGTTCCACCAGCTTGGTGGCTGTAATCTCACCTATCAACATGCAGTGTCTTCGAAAGTCAAATAATAATATGTACACCTGCTATTTCATTCGAAACGAAACTAATCTTAAAAAACCTCAGCTTCATCCAGCTGCCAATAATAAATTAATCCAGCAATGTTGCTGTGACCACTAAAAATCAAACAATTATTGACTGTATTGTGGTGCATTGACTGATAAGTACTGATTGATAACAACCATGGATCACGATCTTAGTTGATGCGGGAGACTGATAACTTTTTCCCTTGGTTATCGCTCGAACAGAATGGAATACGAAACTGTTTTCAAACACATGACGACATTTAATCAGACTTTTAATCAGCAAACGCAAACGACTTTTAATAATACCTTCGGCAGAAAAGATGAAATTTCCATACGAACTCTACGCGTAGAATAGAACAAAGAAACACAGCCATCGAAGCAGTACGGAAACGAAGACGTAGAAAAAGACCTCCAACTGACAGTAGTAAGAGGAAATGTCAAAAGATAAAAACACGCCAAATAGCAAATTGTTTCGAGCATTAATCTTACTGTGATGAACACCCACCAATTACTGGCATTATCATTATCATCACTATCACCATCATTACCGTTGATAAATTAAAAAAGATTTTCAGCACGCTCGCTGCATAACTGCTAAAGTCTCTTGGCCAGAGGCGCATTTCTGCAGATTCTCTAGCGATTAGGTAAATACTGAGCACTTTCCCTGTTTTTCACATCTTTGACTGTAAAGTACTAATCATAGGATACAATTTGCTAACACGAGACAGACGGCTATCCTGCATTAAAAATAGACGGGAAAAGAAAGAAATGATAGAGTATGGGTGTTGCTAGATTTGCTGAATGAAACACCACAACAGAGCAGCATTCACGCATTTGACATGTGTTCATTCACGTGCTCTCGTTGCATACATTTCGTAATGCGAACAAACAACGTCGCAAATGTTTTTGCAATATATTCATTGCTGCTATTAACAATTTTGCTACTGCTACTGTTGACACTCGCTACTTCAAGGAAGCATTTATTTATGCACGTGCCCCAAAAACTAATACGATGCATAGTCAACAGAGCGGTAACGTGCATGAATTAATACGTATGTAAAGTGGTGACTAGCTAAAACCAAAAGTATTCAACTGATGTTAAAGGAGGGATTTGATCCGTTTCAGAATGAAAGTTTTGAGTTCTTTGTAGAAGCTTGTTAATGAGGTACTTTTACAGATAACGGGCCACATCACACACAGACAAGCAGGCGCAGAAGCCGAAGCCTATGCGTCAGCCTCATCAGTGGGCTAAGCCTAAGCCTTAGCGTACTCCTACGTTGAGTTCGAATTGCACAGCATTCACATGTGAAAAATGTTCAATGTGATAACTTAAGCGTATTAGTGCGGTGGTGTAACCCATTATCTATAGCAGTGCTATCAATAATGCTTGTATAAATATTTAGGATGTATTATTATTGAAAAAAGTCGAATGATCACATTCAGCAATGTCAATGTATCAGGTGCACATAAATATTGATTTAGTCGAACATTATCTATGTTCACAAAACGTCAAGAATGTTGTTTTGTATCAGAGATAAATTGTTATTTGAACTATGTTCTCAAAAAAGTGTTCAACATTTACTTAAGAACAACAATTTTAGCAAAACGCGTTGAGATTTCGTTTTGGATATTCTATCTAAAGAACTGAACTCGACTCGAGAAAGTCCGTCAAACAATCCAACGAATTCGCTAAAATGTGAATAGACACACAGATTCAATGGAATTGAAAGACTGAGCACATGCAAGTATTTTCATTGAACTAAATGAAGTGAATTTTGTGAATGAAGCGGGGAGGAATGAACGAAGATCTAGCAATTCAATTGATTTGGGAAACTTCCTCCTGTTGATTGCTTTTCAAGCATAAATTTCAGGGTACGTACGGTTGATTTTTGTTCATTTCATTAAGAAAAAAATTAAACGAACAGCAAATAATACATCTCAAATACTCAGTATGACTAAATATATCAGTACAATGAGCGCTGGTTTAGTGAAATTGCATTACTTGAAAATAAGAAATTCTACAAACTATTTTCAAATGA